CCTGACGCCTGCCAGTGGGAGTGTGTTAAACACTGGCCATGACTTATAGATGAGACTACTGATGAGTTTTATTATGCAGGAATGGTTTATCATTGAAAGTTCTGTTACTTTTACATGGTTTATCTGGCATGCTAAAAGTTTTACTCAAGGGCTATCCATATTTACTTACTGAGTTATCTCATAGTTTTTCCTTGTCCACCATTTCAAGAAGCGAAACCGAGGACGGGGAAACCGAGGGGAGTGACGAATTAGAAGGCTAGCCATTCAATTGGGGTATAAGTCTTAGATTTTATCATCCTTTTGTAAGGTTGATTTTATTCTTGAGATTTTGTGATTTGAATAAGTTCCGAGCCTTGTGCATTTGTGGGACCCTCTCACGAGTGCACGGCGTTTGCCACGTTCCCGAAATTGGGTTCTGGGGCGTGACAGTCATAGGCAAGTAAGTGGATGGTGGGTGATGGGAAAAAGCTTGAAGGTAGGGATGGCAATAGGGCCTGGTGGGATTAAGGAGTCCCTCTTCGTTCCTGTCCCCACAAGGATTTTTTATGAAGGGCAGATTTTGCCCCCCATCTCCTCCCTTGTCCCTGTGGGGAACAGGGATGCTCATTCCCTACCAATTAATATCAAAAAAAATTTATATATTAATTAATAGTCAATTACAATGAATAAAATTTTAAAAATTCAATTATAATTAACTAAAATTCTATAAATATAAAATCAAATATAAATTGTTCAAACATAAATAGCTAAATAAACAAACTTGTTCCAAATATAAAAAAATATTAATCTAACATAAATAGTTAAACCAATATATTTGTTCCAAACAAAAGCAAAAATCAATCCAACAAAAATAAAATAACTAAACTAACATGCAGATTCCAGCATGAAGGGAGGTAGCAAATTCAAAACACCTTAGCTCTCAAAATCCACATTTGGTCATAAAAAAACCTACAATACAATTAGTTAATATTTCATATTAACATATTTATAGAAAAACTATTTATATTATTAGTATAAAAAAATGTCATGTATGTTTTACCTATGAATTATTTTTTTTATCACAATCCACATCCTCATTAAGGGTAAAGAAACTTTTCTCTAGTTAATGGAAATTCTTCCCCTTCACAGTTTCATTGGAGTTCACAGTAAACTCTAGAAATTAACTAGACAACTGGGCATTCACAGTTTTCTCAATTTTTTGATTTTACTAAGAAGTTACTACACTTTTCTATGTTATATGTAAATGTAAAGAAATTAAGTAGGCAATTCACTAATAGAAATGGCTGAGCAATTAGAGGATCTAGTAAACTCTAGAAAATCTAGACTTTCTCTATGTTAATTCAACCATAAAGAAATTATTTAAACTTTTTACCATTTGGATCTGTAGCCTGAGCCATAGGTTAAGCAATCCGGCAGTAGCAGAGACAGAATTAAGTAGTCCAACGGATCATATGGTAGATGGCTTTGAGTTTGATAGTAGTAGTCCAGAACTCTAGATGGATTTGGCAGTAGCAGTGTGTAGTTGTCCACTCCAGCAGCAATGTGGCTCCGATAGTAGCTCCAATAGCAAATTAGTAGGCGACAATGAAGGGTTTGAGGGTTTGAGGTTTAGGGTGAAAGTGAGGGCAGAAGGGTGGCAATGGGATTTAGGGTCAAGATTCTTGAAGAGTGCAGACGGCAGAAGAGGAGTGTAGACGACAAAAGGGGAAGGGAAGGTCGAAGGTGAGAGTGAGGTTAGGGTTAAATGGTTAATGATGGGTTAGGTTGGGTTGGGTTGGGTTGGGTTGGGTTGGGTTAAGTTTAATTTTTATTGGATTGGGTTCGGGTTTGGGTTTGAAAGTTGAATTAAATTTAAAATAAAGTTAATTTATATATTTTTTAAATTTTTGGTGGGGATGAGGATCCATGCGGAGCCCAACGAGGCAGGAGAAATTCCTTATGAAATTTCATGAGGGAAAAATGCCCTCATCCTCGAGGCAAATTGCCACCCCTACTCAGAGGGAGATGCTGTGTAAAGATTATACCAAAGTGAATATTAACGAGGTGACAATTTTTTTCATCATTGTCTTAGCAATTTCCTTTATTTCTTTTGATTTTCCATTATTATTTCCCTAAATCAAACTAACAATGGCTGTGTTAGACTGGAAACACTATGCTCATCCAAGCGTTGTTGACACATGAACCTCTGATGAAGGAGTTCCTCTCTGTTTTTACTGCATCACCAACCTAAATCCAAGTTCTCTTCATCTTGAAGTTTTTTGCTTTTCTTTTTTATATTTTTTGGGGTCTCTTACTTTTCTCTTCTTATTCTGATTTTTTTTTTTTTTTAGATTTGATAATTTTTTTTTTGGTAAATAAAGAAAGTATTATAAAGACCATAAACTAGGTTTTGAGGTAGCAAACCCCTACAATATCAGCCAAACATAGTAAGCCCATATCAGAAGGGCAGTCATACAAAAGTTCAAATGTAGAAGAGGAATGAACACCCTTCTAAGCAAAAACATCTGCAGCTATATTACACTGTCGAAGACTGTTTTGGAGCTCCACTTGAGGAATGTTGCTCATAAGGGCCCTGCAATCCATGATGAGATTACCGTGGCGATGAAAAATATTCACATCATCAGACAATAACTCAATGGCAATCTGACAGTCAGATTCAATAATAATGTCCTGGAGTTGAAGATTAACAGCAATAGAAAAGCCATCTCTGATGGCCTAGAGCTTAGTAGCAAGGGCAATAGTATATCTAATATTTCTAAAAAAATCCCATTATCCACTGCCCTTGTGAGTCACGAAGAAGTCCTCCACAACCAACAGGTATTGGGTTGCCCATAACAGAGCTATCCATGTTGATCTTGATCCAATTTGGATGTGGAGGACTGCAACCAATAAGACGTGGGGTTCTAGTATAGCTGACTGCCAAGTGATTAAAAGAGGACCAAAACTACACAACTCTGTTAACAATATAGTGATGCATGCGTTGTTTATCCAAAGGTTCATATCTATACATAATATGATTCCTATGGTTCCAAATAGCCCAGATCAAGAAGGCAAAAGTACATGCCCATGGAATATTAAACAAGGAACTAGAAGTAAGATTACAGCACTGAGATTGCAACCACTCAAGAAATGGGCTCCTAATCTAAACATTTAAGGTAATATTCGAGAGGAAATGCTCCAAGACACAATTGGTCATAGGACAATAGTGAAATAGATGATCAATAGATTCCCACTTAGCCTTACAAAGGGAGTAGGTATGATTCTAAGTAATACCAAGGTCATAAAGATAATTGTTGACGACCACTTAAGATTTTTTTCAAAATAAATGAAAAAATTAAGTGTGAAATATATAAGAAAAAGGAAGTCGCCACTCATCCAAATTATAAGGTGGGACAAATCACTTAAAACGGATCTGCGCAGAGATTAAGGTTCAGGGGTTCGATTAGGAGTGAGGAATGGCATACGCGCACCTCACAATCCTCCGTTTAAACACGGTTGCATACTTTAACATTGGGGGTTTTGATTCAATTGATTCATCATGTTTATGTTTGAGTCTTAATAGGAAAACTTAATAAAAAAGAATAAACCAAATTGAAACATTTTTTTAATTTTTTGGACTAAAATGGTCTAAATCAAAGACATGCATGCACAATAACAAAAATATAAGGTTAAGGGACTAACTTGATTAAATCTGAAAGATGGAGGACTGATTTGATTAAATTCAAAAAAACATGGAAGATTGATTTGAAAAGATTTGAAACATTTGGACTAAGGTGCTTGAACATGAGAGTTTTGTGCGAAATTGAAATAAAAAAGAAATAACTTTTCTTCTTTTTTTTTTTTTAAAAACAAGATTAAGGCAAATGGAAGATTAAAATTAATTAATTATGATAATTAATTCAATTGAATGGCTAACTTATCATTAATTAAAATTAATTAA